GCAACAGCCAAGAGAATGATGAAAACCCACTGCTCTACTCTGCCAAGGAAAATGCCTTCAGGAGATCTCCACTGGGTTGTGTGACAAGGCCTGTGAGCATCCTGTGCACCGAGCCAGTGTCTGTGTGTTGCTGAATGCCATATCATCACATCCTTCTCCACTTTTATGGACTGAACAAAAGCACAACTTAATGGCTGCACAGGACTTGATGGATACTAGATTATATACATAGGCCTATATGAGAAGATGTGGCAGGGTAGTGGCTGCTTCTGTGAAACTGCCCAAAGTGGCTGCACTTCCTAGCGGGCTTGCCCAGATCAGTGAAGGACAACTAAAGACATCTATAAACAAGAAATGTGAGGAAAACGTGCCCTGCCAAATTCACTATTAGCTTTAACATCACTGAAGCTGTCCTCCAGAGATGAGGCCACTGAACACACCTTTCTCTTTAAAAGCAGGAAACAATAAAACTGCAGTAAGTTAGAGTTGTTACATGGACTCTTCTTATTATAAACCATATTAGAAGAGAAAACATTTGAGATGTACTTAGTCTCGACGCAGAAAAAGCATTTGACAACGTGAGCTGGACATTTTTGTACAAAGTGATACAAAAATTTGGATTTAATGATAAAGCTGTACAGTGTATTAGGACATTATACCAGTTACCTACAGCCAGAATAATAATCAATGGTAATTTAATAAAAAATATAAACCTTGAGCGCTCCACTCGGCAAGGCTGTTGCCTATCTCCAACCTTATTTGCGATCTATATAGAGCCTTCAGCACAATATATAAAGCAAAATATAAAAATTAAGGGTATTCAAATTAGAAATGAATCACATGTTGTAGGATTATTTGCGAACGATGTAATTTGTTATCTGAAAGATCCGGAAACATCCTTACCAGCACTAATCCACAGATTGGAGGTGTACGGGTTTTACTCAGGATATAAATTAAATTTAGCAAAGGCACAAATCCTAACAATGAACTACTCTGCATCTGATATTGTACGTAGAAAATATAACCTGGACTGGAACTTAAAAAACATGTCTTATCTTGGAATTACATTAACAAAACAAAGTGATAAAGTGTATAAGGTAAACTTTAACAAGGTAGACCAGGGAATGAAGAACGACATACAACGGTGGGAAGCCCTAACATTAGATTTTAGTTCTAGAATTGAGATAAAAAAAATGAATATCTTGCCCCATCTCCTTTATCTTTTTCAGGCACTTCCAATTGAAATACCAGAGAAACAGTTTAAATCATGGGATTGACTTACAGTATATCAAGATTTGTATGGAATGGTAAAAAACCTAGAATAAAATTTGAACAATTGCAGATTGGAAAAGATAACAGGGGTATGGCCTAATCTTAAAGAATATTATCATGCAGCTCAAATAGACCCCATATTGAATTTATGTGATAAAAACTATGAGGCAAAATGGAAAAATACTGAATGCTTGCTACAGGGAAGGGAACTCTCAAGTATTATTGGTGAGTTGGAGACAATTAGAGACGTATTAAAACATGTCAATACTGTGACTAGATTGACATTAGAAGTGTGGCTTTACGTAGTACGGAAACACAAACTAGAAAGGGAGCTCTGCCTACTTAAATGGCCTGCCTATACTAACAGTTTCACTCCAAATGCATATGACTCTAAATTTAAACAGTGCATTAACAACAGCATTACAGCCCTTTGTTTATTAGTAAAGGATGGTAACTTT